AATATCATGTAAATATATTTATGTGAAAGGGAACTGCAAAGTTTTCTCACAATGCTCTGCAGCAGGCTTTGCTAGGCTAGACTAAGCAGCTTCTTTTAACACACAATTGCTTAAAACTGGCTTAGATTTTTGTAATCCTTCAGCCACTCGCTCCAGCTGTAGGAGGGGAATCCCAAGAAACCCAGAGTAATGACCTTCCTTTTGCCACAGCATCCCGCCAGACTGGCTTGATCCCCAGGGGGAATTAGATATAATTATATATATATATATTTAATGTATATATTCAGATTATTTCTTGGGAAAAATGTAATCATTATCCATACCCTTAAACCTGGCAAACAATATTTAATTCCCCTCTGAAGAGGACGGTGAGTGCTTGAGTATCCTCCTCCACCCTTCCTCGCTCAGCTGGTGGGGGACCACGCCGTCAGACTGAACAGGGACCAGTGGGGTTAAGAATAAATAAATAAAAATCACATTTCCTCCCCCTCCCCGAAGAACCAGCCTCATCTCAAGAGCAGAGTGCAGAAAGGTGCCATTTTTAGGGACTAAATACACGTTTACCTGGTCCCCAGTGTCCTTCCTCCAGGCTGCTCTCAGGAGGTGCTGGCAGCTGAGACTGTAACAGGACATTGCTGGTAGAGTCTCATAGTTAGAAAATTACAGAAAATTAGGTGCTTTTGGCAAAAATATCAGAGCAGGTCAGTTTTAATGACAATATCCCTTCAAACTTTTTTGGTTTGGGTTTTTTTCAGGCTTACCTTTGGAAACCAGCTGTCTTTTTCTCTTCCAGAATACACGAGAGCCTCGATTACTTGGAGGGCAGAGCTACGGTCTTTCACTCCCGTTACCTCTCCGTGTGGGCGAGCACCGGTGCGGGAGCAAAGCTGTCGGTGGTTCTGGGCCACTTCGTCCTGCCACCCGCCTGCCTGCAAGAAGGTCAGGGGGAAAAAAACCCATCGGGGTTTGGCTCCCCTGGGGGTTCCCCCATGAGCGCAGCCTTTTTGGGGTACAAACAAGAATCTCCAGGTACTTCTGCTGTGGGTGGAGGGAATTTTCTTCTGCTGGGAGCGAGTCTTCCTCTCCAGAGACAGAGGAATTAATGCTCCATCTTTTGTATTGCATTAGTGAGCAGCGCCCATGCAGTGACCCCTGCCAGGGCTCCCGACTGCATTTGCTAGCACCTGCGAGAAGCAGGGGCTTGCACAGGCAGCGACTGCCTCACAGTGTCGCAATTTGCTGCTCTCACAGTCGTTTATTTTTTGTTCATGGCAGAAATCAGAAGGAAAATCGGTAGTTTTATTTGGGAGCAGGCGGATGATTCCCTTGCAGAACAGGTAAGATGAGAAATTTATACTACAGGAGGTGTACCCTAAAAACAAATCAGTTGTATCAACTTAAGGGACCCTGGGTTTCATCCCAGACCCTCAACCCAAATGCGGGATCAAATCTTCTTGTGCTTGCTGCGCTGTGACATCCCAGGGGGAACAGCACCAGACTGAGCGTGGGACGCGCAGGAGGGATTTTCTCCCTCACCCAGACCAGTCCAGTCTCCCCGGCACATCCTTCCGGGGCTGCCGATCGCCAAGATCTGAGTTCAGCCCTTTCGTGCGGCATTTTCCTTCCCCGTGTAGCTCTGAGACACTGCCCGCTCTCTTCTCAAAGCAACTTCTCAGTACTTTTGAAGCAAAAATGTGATTATTTAAAATTGTATTCGAAATTATGCTTGAAATCACAAGTCCTAAAAATACTGCTCTCTCAGACGACATCTCTCGTGTTCTGCAGGGTACCCAGGGCACAATTTTAACTCAACTCTGCATTGATACTTGCAGCTCAATGAAAATCTGACGGACAAACTGGAGGCGGCGAGAAAAGGCTGTGAGGAGGAAGCAGAGGAGGATGCTCTAGACCTGGCCGAAAGGTATTTTCCTGCCCTCGGCGGTACCATATGGACACGTCCCCACATTTCAAGAGATCCCCAACGCATAGGAAGTAACACACAGATTTTTTTCCCCCCGATACAGCAGCGAAGAAGAAACAGGCTCTAGAGCTCCCGCCCAGGGGGAATTTCCATACCGTGCCCTCCAGGAATACCCGATGAATAACATGGTGACAGGTAACATTCGGCGTTGGTAGATTTTTAAGGAGTGGGAAATATGCCTGAAAACGACTGCGGATGAAGCAGGGACCCCCCCGCTTGCTCCTCACTTCCTCCCAGTACTTACAGCAGCGGAAATGCTGAGGGTGTGACTGGAATCGCTCCCTTCCCCGCCATGCTTTGCGTTTTCCATCGTCCTTGTTTCGTTGGAGAAGAGGGCAGCTCCTCCAGTGAGACCCGCGCTTTCCCTTCGTAGGCTATGCCTCTGCTCGCAACATGAAGAAATATGTCGGAGAGCTCCGCGATTTCATTCCCGGCACGTCAGGCTATGCAGCGTATTGGATTCAGAATGAAATTAACATTTACTCTGACGTGAAGACTAAAATGAAGAGAAAATTGTAAGTAACAGGCGGCTGTTCACATAAAAAACTTCACTGCCAGAGGGCTATCAGTCACGTTTGGAAATTCAATCCCGTAGTTAGATGCTGGGACGCCTCCTTGCTCACTCTCTTCTGCAGATCGATGGTTATTTTACGTCAGTCTGCGTTCTCCCTGTGTTTTAGTTAAATAGTGAAGAGATTGGTGCTATCGAGCTGCAAATTCCAAGTTAAATCTCTGTAGTACTTAGAGGATTTATAAATTATCCCTGCTTGGCTTATCCCGACTGCAGCTCAGCATGTTCAATGTAGATTTAAATACTGGCTACATTTACTGTCAACATTTTCTTCTTTAAATAACTATTTAAAACAAATTCCACAGCAAACTTAAATATAGACATTTCTCCCCAAAACACAAATCCTTTCTCTTTTTATTTGTACCGGGGGATTCAAGATGTGGCTGCGAACAGTAGTTTTCCTTGGAGGGACACACTGAGGTCTCCTTGCAGGGAGAGGGGAGAAGTCACCCCACGGCACAGCCGCGCCCACCCGTGGTACACGCTCACCGGTGGGACCCAGCGCTATCACGGGGCTGGCAGGACAGGCAGGGGCTCCACGGGAGCTCCGTGGGTTTGCAGAGGTTTTGAGCGCAGGGCTCCGGGCTTCCCCTAAGCACAACCCACCTGGTGCTGGAGCCGGTCACGCAGGCAGGGAGGGCAAACCCAGGGACCCCCGCCCGGCCGGGGCCGCCCAGGAGCGCTGCCTGCCCTTGCCAAGGGCGCCCTGCCCGCAGGTCACGTGCTGGCTGATGCCGACAGCAAAGGCTGAGACCTGTAGGTCTCCTCTGCCTCCAAGCAGAGCCTCTGCCTAGCAGGACAGGAGTTTTGCGGGGCAGGACAGCACCCCAAAACTCTCACATCCCTGCTGCACTCTGGGGAAGTCTCGCTGGGGGAAGGACAGCACAAGCCTCTCCAGGGCCCATCTCCACAGGGGAGCTTCCACCCCCAGACAGAGTGCTCTGCTCAGCCCGGTTCGCTCCCCTCATACAAAGAAAACCAGCGACAAGACTTTTTCCTTTCATTTAAGCACTTAAACTAGACCAACGCGGTTATAAAAAGCAACTTTTATTCTGGCACAGCATGATCCCTGAGAGTTACCCGCTCGGAGGAGGCACAGGCAAACCCAGGAGGCGCTGAGGGTGAGGAGCTCCGCCAAGCTCTGAGGAGCCACCATGGTTGTCCTCTCCTGGCCGCGTACCGCAGGAGAGCCTGTAAAGTAACAGCTTTGCACCTCACACCCCAAACAGCCAGGGAAGAACCCAAAAAGATGCTGGCAAACGTGAAAGTGCTGAGTTCTCCTCACCCTCTGAAGCCTCGGACACCGGTATTTGGGATGCGACACCCCGAGGAACCAGCCCTCCCTCCTCACCCCTGGGGACGCAGGCTTCCAAAGACCAGGCAGGCTGAGATGGTTTCCCCACGTTTATTGGAAAAGTGACATACAGCGACTGACTCAGAGCGCTCCTCGGGGCGTTTTGAAGTTCATCCCCACTGTGGGCTGTGTCACCTGCAGGTTGGACAGGCTGCCGAAGTCCTGGAAAACAGCACGGGATTGGGATCAGTCACACCGCCCTGCCCGCTGTCCGCGCCCGACCCCACCGAGGGCGGAGGCAGATTCCTCCCGGGAGGAGCAGGAAGCGTGAACGTGCTGCGGTAGCACAAAGGGTGGATTCACGTCTCCAGAAAGAAGGGGAGATGACCACCCTGCTGTGGAGATCAGCTCATCGGTGGGGAATCTGGTCTTTTTATGGGCGAACCCACGTTCACCTCCACCCAGTGAGAGCTGAGGAGGAGGCCCTTGGGTCAGCACCCTAGGGTGCTGCAGGAGGAGGGGAGGGCAAGGAGCACACCCACGCTGCTAGCGGGGTCCTGGGCAAAGCCACCCGGCCGCTCCCCTCCCGAGAGCGTACGGGAATTAACCTGCCTGCAGGTCGCAGGGCGCAGGGACCCCGGCCACATGCCCAGAGCAATGAAGCCTTCAGCCGACATCAGGGCAGCGGGATCGCTGCTGGGGACACGCCACCAGCCTGGCAGGGTTACCCGGGGCAGGGGGACAACTAGGGCCACTCACCAGGAGCTTCAGCATTTCCTTGGTGTCCGGGTCCACTTCGATGATCTCCTGGTCGAGGGCAGAGACCTGGGGACAGAGGAGAGATGGATGCAGTTTGACGAGGCCCGGCAGCCACGCCCCTGCTGCCACCGGGGTGTCCCCACACACCCACTCCGGTCCCGCCCCACCACAAACAAGATCTCACTGCCCGTCGTGGGGAAGGGCTCCAGCAACAGAATGAGCCAGGAGGACCCCGATGGAGTCCAGCTCTCCTGCCAAAACACCGCGAGAGGCCAGCCGGCAGCAGAGAGGCCCCCCACAGGGAGAAGAGCCTCTGTTATGGCAGGTCTTTGGAAACCCGAGGCCTAACCAGCTCCACGCCAACACTGCCGAGAGGAGCCAGGGTCAGGGCCACAACTGCACCGGTCCCGGTGATCGCCACCGACACTCGCACTCGTCCTGCAATGCGAGTCCCCAAGGCCGGAGCCCAACCACCGTGGTGCCAGACAGCAATGCCAAGTGACCACCTGGGCTGTCCCACCCCCAGGACCTGAGGTCTCCTGCTCCTTAAGCCCAGAGCAACCTCCTCCAACCCGCTCTGGACCCCAAACCTCGATCTCCGCACACACTTCCTTCCACAAGAGCCTACGTCACACCAGTGTTTTTGTAAGAAACTGTGAGTAACAGGGGTTCAGCTAACATTGCATTGACCGCTACAGCACGGACGCTCCTTCCCTGCTCGGGGCCCCACCACGGGTGACGTCTCCCCCCAGCACCACCTTATCCGGCCTTTGAAAGGCAGCTGGAAGGTCACTATGTGCAACACACAGACAGTTGCCCCAGCCGGTTCCTCCAAGCCTCCGACACCAGCTGTGCAGGTCAGCACTGGGCTGATACCTAAAATCTGGGGCGTTGAGGATCTGTGAGAGGATCTGCTTGGAGCTGCCAGTGTTTCTCACGTCATTTCTAGCTGTCAGCACTGAGGGAGTCAAACTGAGCCCTGGTCTCTTGTGGGTAGCCGTGTCACCTCACCTTGGGCTACGAAACCAAGAAGGCAAAGCAGGGGGGCACTCCCGAGGCAGATCTCCAGGTGGGGGGGAGAGCACCAGCCCACCTTACCGCACTGCTGCGGCTCCTGTGACGTCCTACCATCGTACCTGTTCTTCCCACATTATCACTAAAATAACCTTCCATGTAACCAAACCCCAGCACCAACGACTTAGGAGAGCAGAGGTAACAGAACCGAGCGTTTTTGTGCAACACAGAAGCCAGCAGCTCTACTAGAAGCCGACTAGGGAGATCTGGAAGAGGGGCGAGAAGCTACAGGCTACAGGGTTTGGGAGGGACGGGATCGAACCCACCGAACACGGGAAACGCTTTCGGAGCTCCTCTCCCTGCACTATCAATGACCAAGTCACGGGCAAGACCTCAACCCCTTGTGAATGCAGGTTCAAGACGAGAGCGGGTTTCACCAATTCCCTCTCTTCAGCGACATCTGCTGTACAGCAGGTCTTAAGCCACCCTGAAATATTCTCCTGCTTCCCATCAAGTTACATTTTTCCTCATTTTAAGGTAGGAAATCGAGGAGGGCTATCATCTGCCAACCAGCAGCAGAGTCGAAATGCAAGAAGTCAACTGCTCCTCCCACCCCAGGCACTGGTTTTTGAGGGAGCGCCCTGATACGAGGCCAAAATCCACCTCAGCCTTCTTCCACCCAAACCCTCCCCAGCTCCTCCTGGCTAAGATTTTGGTTTAAAGAAACTTGGGGCCACTAACGGAGAAGACACCTCGAGGCAGGACAGACAGACACTGAAGTGGGCACTCGAGCGCAGGCAGAGCCTCACCTCGGGGACATAGTTGTCCCTCCTCTCCCTCTCCTCCTCCTGCAGTTTGATGGAGATGCCTCGGACGGGTCCCCTCTGAATACGCTTCATCAGGTGGGTGACATACCTGCGGGGACACACAGGACCACCCAGGACTCCCAAGAGCCCGTATCTCCCTTCTCGATCCTTGCTCCCAA